TGGCATCATCTCTGGAGAATATCGAGCGCCAACTCGGCCTTGTTGACGAGTTCTGCTTGATGGCAGGGGCTAGGCTCAATCGCAACAAATGTAAAATGCTCACGTTGAACAGTAACCAAGGCATCATCGACCACCCCAGGTTGAACATGATACGTAGTGGAGTTCCCATCCGCTACTTGGGCATTCACCTCGGTCATCAGCTCACATCTCAAGTGCAGCTGAACTTGATACCTGACACGTTCTACCAGTCCTTCGTCACATGGGGCTGCAGGGCTCGTACGTTGCGTCGACGACGCCTTGTCGTCAACACCATGATCCTCTCGAACTATGGCACTACACTGCGGTCGTACCCGTGCCTACGGAGTTGCTGAGATGTGGCAGTCAATGGTAGCCAAGAACGTTCTGGGTCGGCGTGTTCGTCGCGAGGACAAGTATATAGCCCCCACAACTATGGTCTGGCCCATGACCGTTCAGTTGGTCTGCGAGTACCTCACATTCCGTCACAAATCCGAGCCCAAATGGTCCAGAGGCTGCAGCTGCTGGTCCGTTCGGGTCAGAATAACCAAGAGTTGTGGTCGATTCTTCCACGTGAACTGTGGAAGAGATGCGCAGGACCGTACTTCCGTCCCGCGCATTGGGACGTGTTGCTATATGCCCCAAACATTCGAAAGTCGCTACTCCAGCTGCCCGCACCTCCAACGTTTTGGTTGCAGGTGTGGTCTGAATGGGGGAAAATCCCCATCATTACTTTGTCGCCGATGCCGCCGACGCTGGAACAGCTCCTACACATTCTCCTTTGGCTCAACCGACACCCCTTGTTCTTTGTCCCCACGACCGACACCGACACGTGTCTAGCAATAACACTTCGCAGCCACAGAGGATGGTATCATCACCTGGCAGAGTGTGGCGTGCACACACTGCATGACTTTCTCACGCCGGACCGTCGATGGCCCTCTCGGGCGACCTTCGAGACCTGGATGGAAGCATACGTCGCAGTATACGACAGGCGCGAACTAAGACCGGTGTCGTCTGACCGGTTCTACGACTTAGTGACGTTGATTGCAACCCGCGTGTGGCATGCGACGGAGATTTCCTCGGTGGACCCCATCCCAGTTGGGGATGCCGAGCGCGCCCCCTTCACTCATCTGGTCAAGGCGGTTCTCTCCCCCCTTCGCATCTGGACCAAGCCGCTGATCAAACGTCTGAGTTTCCACGCCCCCCCCCCCGTTGATCAAACAACACCCCAAGTGCTCCGAATATCGAGCATCTCCCACACAACTGCAGAGGTATCTCAAGACGACAGTACGCCCGCTACTTAACCTCGCGCCGCCAGTTCAAGGCGACGTGTGGTGGCGTATGTTGTACCGGATGCTTCCCGTCAACTACTCTCTCATCTTCCTGCAAGCCCAATTACCCAACATTATGGAGTGCTCGTACCCGGGCTGTAGAGCCGTAGAGACGGCACGCCATGTTTTGGTCGAGTGCGGCGGTGTGAATGGAGTGTGGTCGTGGCATTCAGCTCCATGGAGACAGCTCAGTGTTTCATTTGAGTGGCGCTGTCTCTTCGATTTGGACCAGTGGGAGGTTAGCCCACGGTGGCTACACCTCGACGAAACCATTCGAAAGCTATGGGTACTCCTAGCTGCGGTTATTCTGCATGCTATGTGGACACACCGCAACAAAACGAGATTTGAGAACAAGCCACCGCCCTTTGCACCAGCAGTGCAGCAATCAACTCTCATCTCGTGGAGTGCTAGTGTTCGACGCTTGCTTCGACATCCTGCCGTCGACGATGTGGTGCGGCAGCAGATTGCGAGAGAGCTCTCTCTACTTGGCCGACACCACCATTATTCGTGGTTTTGGTCTCAGTATCCTCTGGCGTTTTTGAAACCCCCTTGGGCAACCCCTTCGGGTCAGCTAGGCGGGATAGAACAGACGGCGACACACACGTGACCACAATCAATGCGATGGAGACCACGACGGCTGCGTACGAGACTGCGACTGCGCAAGTGACCATCTCTGCTCTGGTCTGACTGAGATCAAGCTCGTGGCCCCGGTGCCTACAATCGCCACGTCAGTGCTGGCGATAGCTGAGCATGTAACAAGGGCGGTTGCGTCTGAGGCCCTCTCGCGGACAGCCACGTCAACCCGTCCGCTTACAAGTTTGACTTGGGATGTTTGAAGGCCGATTTTATTCCACTGCCGTTGCCGCCGCCGCCGGTCTCGTCAAATGGCGCATACGAGATGACCCATGCAACTGCTTCTGCAACGATGCCAGTCTCCACCACGCAGCAGCATGTTCACCGCTATGACGTGATGATGGACGTTGAGGAGTGGCACCCGTCGGACGCGCTCACGTCGAGCAAGGCCATTCTCGCCACAAACGGCACGCATGGGCTGAATGCCGACGACGACCCATTCAGCTCGATCGGCCAGCTATCGACGCCCACAAACTATGCCACAGTTCGCGAACCCATTCGGCGTGTGTCGGGCGGGTTCGCCACCTGCGCCACCCGTCGTGATCTCAGCGCAGCAATGTCGCCACCGGCGCCACCTGTCGTGATCTCAGCGCAGCAATATCGCCACCGGCGCCACCAGTCGTGGTACCAGCTCAACATTGTCGCCACCTGCGCCACACTTCGTGGTCCCAGCAGCA